AATCAAATAAGTCTTCAAACAAATCGAATAGGGAAGGAATGGGGAGTTTTCTTTGGATGAATATGAACAGTGTCCTTCCATCTTCCTGCACAGCGAGCAGTCAATGGACGTTATGGACTCCACCTGGCACCACGTGTGTGTCTCCTGGGATGGGAGAGTTGGGCTACTTGCAGTTTTCAAGGATGGTCATATAAATTTCAAGTTAAATGACTTTATGGGGCCCCTACTTCAGAAGCCGAATGAAGGTAAGTAGAAGACATATACTATTTTTCTTAGGGGCTATGGGTGAGGGACCTTCGGTTAAATCTTTTTTTTTTTTTTTTCCGGATATGAACGGGTTCAACGAGGGAATTAATGCTGGATGATATTTAATTTTAGTTAACAAATTCAGCTGAAAGGCTAAGTTTGAGTTAGGTTTGATAATGGCAATCATTTTGCGAAGTTAACTTATTGTTTGCGGTTAAAACATGAGAGGCCCATGATAAAGGAGGAGCTCTTCAATCAAATAACTTAGTCACTTTCACCCTTTGCTCCTATCGACCCGTGAACAACATGCTTTGCATCTTTTGATCCGCTTAAACGAATTTACCTGGAGAAAAATGTGTTTTAATTTGCAAATACAGGAATCGTGACGATTGGTTTTAGGAATATAAATGAAACTGCTTCTACTGTTCTTGGTAAACTCAGTGGCTTCAATATTTGGAGTACCTTGGTCACAACAGAGGAGATACTGCGCATGTCATACGGATGTGGCACGGAAGCTGGCAATGCGATGGCCTGGGGAAAAGTTAGAAATGGGCTGATTGGGGAAGTGGAGATGAAATCACTTCCAACTTGCAACGATGGAAAACGTAAGGCATAATTTAATAACTTCATCATTGTCATCGTTGTAAGCCAAACTCTAAGATCACTTTTGTTGTTGTTTTGGTTTTAATAATAATCTCTTTATAAACGTGTTTCATTCCATCAATATAAAAGGATAGTTTGATAGAAGAGCCATCTTCATGTCTGTTGCTTAATTTTATGATTTGTCTTTTCTTATTTTGTTTTCCTTGTGGTTATTTACATTATCTCCTTTTCCGTTCTTTACTCTCTTTAATGGTGATATCTCCTCGAAGGTAAATCA